CCTGGACCGTTGACTGGCTGCTCATCTGGATCCCTTCGGTCTCTATACTGAATGCGACCAGTCCAGGGTGGTACCCCGCCCCTCGCCCAATGACTGGAGTCAGCACCAGTCCCCCCGCAACCCTGAACGGGAAGAGCAGTGCAGTGTAGATAATAGTTCTTTTTTTTGCAGCCATGGTCGTGCTAACCGCTCTGTGTGGATGTACCTAACAGAAACGTCTAGACCTAAAAACATGATGTGTAAAGTTTGGTTGACCGAAAAAGAAAAACAATGAATCAAGAAACTTTTCCAACCAATATGAATTGTTTGTTGTAGTTTTAGTCGTACATACCCGCGGTTGTCCTGCGCTCTCCACCACAGCTGGTCCTGTTTGTGGAGGATGGTGTACTCTTCTCCCTGAGGACACAACACACTGCATCAACACCTTTTTTAAAAACTCTGTACGGGAACAGAGACTACGCCTCAACCACAACAAACTTCTGTTTCATTTGTATCAAAGCACACATTACTCTAACTCGCTCCTCTGACGCTGATTTCACATCCTTCCTTTGAGTCCGATTGGACAAACAGGTACTGACAGGAAGTGACCAGAGGCCATCGTTATCAAACAAAAACCATTGTCATTACCATCATCATCATCAATAATATGGAGACCATCATCATTAAGTTAGTAGGTATTCATAAAGAGCTGGGTCTTTAGCTTTTTCCTAAAGGTGCAGAGGGACTCTGCAGATCACATGGAGTTTGGAAGTTCATTCCACCACCGGGGGCGACAGAGTGTAGTCAGTGTCTTAAGACCCTGCTGCTGCTTTTGGTTTTTTATCAGAGAAGATAACTCGTATGTGTTTACCTGTTTGAGGGTGAGGTCAGTGTCCTCTTTGGCCGTGAAGTCGTACATGGCGACGACCGTCAGCAGGCCCCCGGCCACACCGTCCTCGTCTTCAGGAGGGGGGAGGGGGAGCTTCTTCCTGGACAGGGAGGTGGCCTCCAGCCGCATGCGGGTGCTGTACTCACTGAAATCGACGGATCGATAACATTTTATTGAAGGACCTGAAGCGATGGCGTCAACAAGTCTGTAAAAGAGTGTTAAAGCGAGCAGGTACCTGGTCTGCACAGCACAGCAGCAGCAGCAGAAGATGGAGCGGATGGAGTGATCTGGAGGAGGAAACACAAAAACAGAAGAACCAGTGTAACTACGGTGCACTGTGAGGGGCAAAATAGCATGTGATCAATGTAGAGACCACTTTCTGAAGGTCTCACCTGATAATAGAAAATGTAAAGTATCCAGAAGGTTAATGCTACTCGTGTCCCTAAAACAACACATGAAGACGAGTTCCCACCAGGTGTAATGTCTCACTTTGCTCGTTAGGATCCGGTTTGAGACAGAGACTGAACCTTGGGATAGAAAGAATCCTGGATTGAACTGCGTCTCTTGTAGAGTTTGAGTTCTGTTTCAGCTGAACTCTCTCTCTCTCTCTCTCTCTCTCTCTCTCTCTTTGTGTCTCTCTCTCTCTCTCTCTCTCTCTCTCTCTTTGTGTGTGTCTCTCTCTCTCTCTCTCTCTCTTTGTGTGTCTCTCTCTCTCTCTCTCTTTGTGTCTCTGTGGTTTGGAGTAGGAGGTCTTTGTCAAGAAGTTTAGTTTCCTTTCTGCAGAGCTCTCTCTCTCTCAGAGCGTGTGTTGTGGGCGAACGAGCAGCTGTGTGTGGGTCATTTTCTCACAGCGTGTGTGTGTGCTCGTCTTCCTGTTTCTCTCCATGTGTGAGTCTGACTCATAGACTGTAAATATTATCATCTTATAGTCTGACACATCTTCAGAACGTTGCTCCTCACGTGACCTTAGTGAGGATGCTGAAATAAAAAGACTCGCTGAGATCTAATCCCACGAGGAGCGATGAAGTCCTGGTCCTGGTTTCTGGTTTATGAAGACACTTTAATGTGACTGAGTCATATATTTTTTGTTACTGTTCTTCTTCTTGTAGTGTGCGTGAGCTACCAAAACGAGCCAGCTGTGTGACGGAGGTTGGGGTTTTTATTGAAGCAGCCAGCTGCCGTGAAGCGCATGACAATAAAACACAGCTGAGCTTTCTCTTCCTTTGAGCGCGAGAGAAAAACAGAAGTGAAACTTTCCCTTTAACCTCGACATGTTTCTATGAAGTGAGCAGGTCACATACTTAGCACACAGTCTCTGCAGCCGTGTTGTATCAACGGATATCAAATCAAAAAAAGAGGAAAGAAGAAGCTTCATTAATTTTGGAGCACATGCTTGAAGTATGACGCTGTAAAAACAATCAGTGTGACGTCTCCATCAGCTCCACATGAGCTCCGGTTCTGTCAGGACCGTTTAAAGAGGCGGCGCCTGCGAGCTCGTTATCCAGGATCACCTGACGACACCTGCTTCCAGTTAGAGCTCTTTTTAAGCTCACTCTCTCTGCTCTCGGGATGAGAGATGAAGGCTGACCGGACAGAGAGAGGAGGTCTGTGCAGAGTTTCAGAAGAGTTTCT